ATTTACACATATTTGAGGGGATTTTGATATAAGTTTATTTTATCAGTTTGGAGAGAAGGGTCTGCGGAAATACCTTGACAATCTAATCACCTTCCTGGCAAGCGCAAGGACCCGGGTCCAATCCCCAGTACTGCCTACTGTGCCGGCCCTGTGCTAAACCAGCCACTGAAACCAGGGGTGATGGCACAACCCTGTAATCCCAGCACTGGGGAGGCTGATGAAGGAGGATCACTATGAGTCCATGCTGAATAGTGAGACCCTGTACCAAATAAATAAATGACTTTTTTTAACAAAAGAAGAAAAAATTGGAAAGAAGGTTTACCTTTGTTAAGTCTTCCAACCTATGTAGATGGCATTTCTTGCTCTTTGGATAAATCTTCTTGGACGCCTTCATCAGCACTGTGTACTTTTCAGTATGTGAGTCCTTACCTAAACCTAAGTTCTTCACATTTATGAGTGATCGTACATGGTTTTGCCTTTAAGTGGTTTACATGGTTTTGTATGTCTTCATAAATACACTTGAGTTTTGTACATTTATTTTATATGCTGTGACCTTGGTAAGCTCACTCTTAGACTCCAGGAAATACTTTTTTCTTTTGAAGAGTCTATGCAGACAATAATGTCATCTACAAATAATGATGATGTACTTCTTCTGTTTCAATTTGTATGCCTCTAATGTCCTTCTCTTGCCTCATTTCTCTGACTAGAGCTCCTAGTAGCTCACTGAATATGAGTGGTGAGGGAGAAGTTTATGCTTCAGGGGGTCTAGATCAGTCCACTAATCTTAAGGGCAGAGCATTTCATTTTTTCATTAATAAGTTCATCAGATATTAGATTTTTGTCCATAGTCTTTATCAAGTTCTCTTTCTATTTCTTTGAGCATTTCTCATCATGACTGAGTGTTGAATTTTTTCAAACACCTTTTCTGCTCTGCTGATGAGATTTTTCTTCTGCATACCTTAACGAGGTACAAAACATTTGCTCTCAAAAGGAATAAACCTTGTATCACTGAAGAAAACTTGGCAAAGGCACAGAATTATTTTGTATGTTGCTGAACACTACTTACCAATATTTTGTTAAGGGCTTTTGTGTCTATTTTTCCAAGATATATTGATCTGTTACTTGCTTTACCTTTTCTCAATTACCTTCCTTCCAATTTCTCTTCTCCTGATCCTCCATCCTCCTTCTCTCCTCCCTCTTTCATTTTCTTCCTCCTCTTATTCTTATTCTCTCTCTTTTGGTATCATAGTGATTCTAGTTTCATAAAAGAAATGGGAATGCTCTTGTATTTTCTGGAAAAGATCTGCATAATTGACACTAATTGTCGCATAAATGTTTGATGAAATGCTTTGCTGAAACTATCTAGAGATTCATTAATACATCAAAGATCTAGAGATTTATTGATACATTAAAGTTGATGTCTTGTTTTCTGTATATGGGTTATTTTATTTTACTTCATTTCTTTTTCTTGTTTCTTATGAGCTATTTGAACATCTTTTAGAATACCATTTTGATTTATTTGTAGTGTTTATAATGTATCTCTTTATATATTTATGTATTGGCTGTGCATGGTTATACATTTCATTCATATATATTCATTCATATATATGAATACATATATAGTGATGATATACATATGAAACCTAACCTCTTTTGTCTTTTCATCTTGCTCTACATATTACAGAATTGCCTTAAATAGTCCTCTACATACATGTATCTTTTTGCTTGTATATTGCTTTTATTTCTTTTTTTTAGATTGTACATTGTAAAAAAATTATTTACAAACCTAAACGAATATAACAGTAAAAATTGTCTAAAATAAACATGAAGAGTTTACAGATCAGTCATGTAATAGTTCATTCTGTGCAAAAAATCAAGAAACTTACATTCATATAATCCAAATTCTCAAAGTAGAAGGGGATAGACAATAAATATTTAAAGATTTAAAATTTCTGAATTTAGTTAAAATCATTGCACCATATTTCCAAGAAGAATAAACCTTTTGTAGAAGAAATATGAATAAGATCATACCAAGATACACAAAAATGAAATTGTCTAAAACTAATTGTAAAGAAAAAAATTGTTAAAGCATATACATAGAAAAAAATATCAGGGGCTGGAGAGATGGCTCAGTGGTCTAAAGCACCTACTTGAAACAAGCTTGGCAAAGCACATGGACCGTGGTTCGATCCCCAGCACCACATGCCAGCCAGCCTCGCCCCCTGGTGGGCTGAGCTGGCCACACACACACACACACAC